TGCTAAAAATTGATAAAATGTGCAAATAAGTTAACTGTTATGATTCATGCATATCTGCGCACGCGCGGGCTCAAAATAACGCACGTTCTCTCGTGAACGAAACATACTTTGGTATGTGAACAGTTTTCAATTGGTGTGCAGGAACTGCACACCAATGTAAAGTAAATGTAAAGTAAATACAGCTGCCTTTAAGCTTTGTGAAGTAATTATGTTTTTTCTGTTATTCAACAGAAGGTGGAGTCTTCACTAGAGGCCTCAAGGCAGGAGACAATTGAACTTCAACAGTCCAGTTCCTCGGCGCAACCGGCTACTAAAATTACAGACCAGTCAGCTGGGTCATCTCGAAAATGGAGTGTCAGCTCTTCTAGCAAGCAGGAAAATGACAGCAGTAACTCTGTGCGTACGATTTATCATCGCTACTGCTAAAAATGCGTTTTCTGTTGCCGCTCTGCAATCAGCGGTGGCGCTTGGTTCAAGAGCTGTTACACACCGCTGAACTGTGGGCTCCTGATTACATGCCCGTGATAATGGTGGATAGACGAGTACCGCTGATCGAGCGCCATGCTGAGTCGCGGAACAGTGTTTTCTTACAGGTTTACCATGAGCTGAGAGGGGAGAAGGCTCATTTTCGGTCAGTAAGCTTGGTTTTGTGTTTATTTAGTGACTGTTGTGAGCGAAGACCAAAATAATTATAGCGCCAATTGCTTTGGCCGAAAATAAACAAATAAACGAATCAGGGCTCACGTAAACGTAAAATTGGTGGTAAATAAGCGTTGGGTGTTTATCGAGGGAAAACGTGCCGGCAAAACGAGTTTCATTTGCCAAGCGCGGGAAATCAAGTTCCCTTTGCCAACCGCGGGAAAACACGCTCGAACAAGTCCCAGGGTATGAGTTTGAAGGTGAGTGCACCTGTACTGATGTTAAAGAATATGTTCGTTTCTTTGTAGCTGGAACAAGAGGAAGTATGGCCAATGGTGGGAAGTGAAGTTTGTAGGTGAAGGCATAATTGATCAGGTGGGTCGATGCAAATTAATGGGATTCTTAGTTAGGCTTAGGCTTAGTTAGGTTTTGCAGAACTTGTAGAAAGGAAATGGCAAACGCTTTCACCGTTTGTGGTCTGATGGAGAATTTTTACAACAGACACCCAACAGACATGTGTCTTCTAAATCCAGTCAAAACCACTGCTTTCTTAACATCTTTTAAGAAATCAACCCTTGGTGTTAGCAGACATTTTTTCTTTAACTTTGTTCCCTTTCCACACTAGGGTGGAGGTTTTCGTGACTCTTTGGCTGAACTTGTTGACGAGCTGTGCCCTCCTGAAGAACGCATACCAGAGATCCTGCCATATCTGATCAGAACTCCTAATCACAAGGTACACTCCTTCTTGGCCGCATTGAGTAATTTAGGTTGGAATAGAATATAAATCTAGGTCAGTTGATCAGTCAATAAGTCGGGCAGTCAGTCGGTCTGTTGGCTGGTCAGTTGGTCAGTCAATCAGTAGACAGTCAGTCGGTCAGTCGGTCAGTCAATAAGTCAGTCAGTCCATCCGTCTGTCCGTCCGTCAACCAGTCAGTCAGTCAGTCAGTGTGCTGGCTGGCACTCATCAGTCAGTCAATCGGACATTCAGTCAGTCAAATCAGTCAGTCAGTCCGTCCGTCCGTCCGTCATTCAGTCCGTCAGTCAGTCAGTCAGCCAATAAAAGAGTGTTAATATTCGCGGTATGATTTTTCTTAGGAGAAGACTGGTGATTTTCTGGACTGTTTCATTCCCAATCCCTCTTGTGACACTCTGCACTTGTTCCATTGGCTAGGGGTCCTCATGGGAGGAGCGTATCGCAGTGATGAGAGCCTCACTCTGGCGTTCCCTCCTTTTGTTTGGAAGCTCATTGTTGGAGAGCATGTCACGTGGGCAAAGGACTACGTCGCCATTGATGAAGCTGCTGTTCACATAACAGGTGAGAGTAACACGTGATCTCTGCAGACATGTTGACACTGTTGACCGTTGCAAGGAATAATTTGTCCTGCAACTTGCGCGCTACACGCGCGATTTTTTTCAGGGAACTTCGTCGCGCGTGGGTGCTGTCGCTTCTCGAGGTGGACAGGTGGTGTGATAGGTTCACAAGACGTTAACTTCTGTGCGCAGTTGAGGGAACTAAATACGCCATCACATGTACGTGTGCTATGAGTTGTGCAACTTGTTTCTTGTTTCCTTATTTTGCGCGCTTTTGATCTTTTTGCGAGACGCGTTGAATAGCATGATACATCGCAATGTGTGTCACAGCTGCGCACAATTTGCGTTCTGTTCCTCTTTTGTTGTTGTTGTCTGCCTTTGCTGTGTTCCGCACAGAAGCGTGCCAAAGGTTCTGCAATTCGAGGCAAAATTCTCCGCCTAACCTGTGACTATCTCTTGGCTCTTTTGTACTATGGGGAGAAGAGACTTTTAAATTTGTCCTTGTGCAGTTTCCTGTACACATGCTACGTTCGTTTGACCAGATTGTACTGAAACGATTTCGTGGTGCTTTTGTCGAACAAAAGTAACTCACTGGTCCCTGAAGCATTTTCTAAGCTCACGGTATTCCTTTAACTTCTTATCGTAGGTGAACTAGAAGTCCAAGATGAAGCGTCATACCTCAGTAGCTATGGCAACGAGTGCACGTTCTCCACTGTGTTGAGTGACGGTCGGCGTGTGGAGTTACTTCCAGGAGGGGAGGGGAGAGTAGTGAGGTCTGAGGAGAGACAGGAGTACACTAGCTTAGTGAGAAAGGCCCGGATGACTGAATTCACTAAACAGGGATAATACAGTTTGAAGAGTGTTTGTGAAGTAGATAGGTAGAGTAAAAAAAAACGTGATTTAAACGCGGTAAAATTTCTGTAAATAATGGTAACTACTGCTCGCTGCAAATGTCTTTGGTGTATGTTGGCCATTGTGTTTTCACTTTGTATCTTTGACTTAACTAATTAAGGATCACGCAATGCTAGGAAATTGCCAGTTTGTAAGTGGTGATTTTAAAATAGCGCTTCAGGTCTATAGGATTGGGATGTGATAACGCTATCTTAAGTTATGCAAGTGAATATGTGAAAGATTATATATTTGAACTGCGTAGAAAGATGTACAGACATGATTGATCATTGATGATCATTCTTGCCTTCACATCTTTCGTCGCAGTTCAAATATATGATCTTTCACGTATTCACTTGCATTCTTCACCATCTACGGGTATATTACGAACTCGCAACGTGAACACCTCTCAGGTAGCTTGATAACTTAGTTGGTAGAGCACTACATCGGTATTCGCAGAGGTCAAGCTTTATTTTCACAGCTGCTTCACTTGTGTACATAACTGCGATGACCATTATGTCTTTAAACGTTAACGTATGCTTACGAGCAGGTATGGTTTGATTGTCATGTTGTTATTTCCTTGTAGGTTCAGGCAATCAGAGAGGGCTTGATGTCAGTTATCCCCGAGTCTGTGCTCTGTCTTCTCACCTGGACTAACCTGGCGCGAGGGGTCTGTGGAGATCGGGAGATTTCTGTCGCTCAGCTTAAGTCAGCCTGTAAGTGTTTCCCTTTGGTGATTATTGATAAACTTTTAAGATTTATCTGAAGTTCGCCAATAAGAACAACACGGTTGTTTATGTCATAAGAAATATAATTGTTTTGTTGGCTTGTCATTTATTCCTTCATGAAGAATTTCCAAGGTGGGAGACGCGCTGGCTTCACAGACCATATTCGTATTCTCGGTATCGGACTGGAACTAGCTTGCAACTGAGGCTAATGTGGGGAGTCTTTTCAAATGCAAATGACATTTATCTCTTTTTAATGAT